TTGAATGCTCCTCAAGCTGATTGAGATTTTGTAGGAGGCCATTTTTGGGCTGATATTTGGGATTACTTTTTGGATGTTTCTGGTTTTGTAGTGTTTTAGGTTTTCAGGAGTTTAAGGCCATGGTTTAGATTTTGTCGGATGTTTCTGGTTTTGTAGGGAAATGGGCTGGACCATGATTTCAGTTGATTTCATGTGGTTCCATTTGGTTTCAAAAATAGTTGACATGTATGATTCCACATTTTCTGTGGCATTGAAATTTTGGAACTGAATGGCATTGATGTTGATGTGGAGACATACATAGATCTTTTTTATCAGATTATATTGATTTTACAAAAACTGGAAATGTGGAACAGGAATTGCCTCTACAAAATGGATTTTTGTACACTTCAGGGTTTTCAGGTGAGACGGGGAGTGCACCAAAAAAACAGGGGGTTGGGTGCCCTGATTTTGTAGAGAAAACCTCTAGATTTGTGGCAGGTTCCTCATTCTGTAGAGGTCCGTCAAAACCATTTTTTTGACAGCCTAAGTGCCTGCAAGGGTGTGCAAGGAATGCTCCCTGATTTTGTAGTGGGAGCATTTTGATGCATGTTGTAGATGGCTGAAACTGTAGGTTCCTCATTCTGTAGAGGTTTTGGGGTTTGTCAACATTCATGAGCACAAATATTGACAAATTATATTGATTTTACAAAATCTGGAATGTGGAACAGAAATTGCCTCTACAAAATGGATTTTTGTATATTTCAAAAATTTCAGGTGAGACGGGGAGACCAAGGTTCTTTCACATCATCCCTCTACAAAATGGACCTTTGTATTTTTGACGGTTTTCTTTCTTCCAAGTAGTAATTCTGCTTAAATGTTTGCTCATGCCAGGCTTCCCATTTTGTAGAGGCCAGTGGTTGTGAAAATCACAAACGTGCACCAAAAAAAAGGGTTGGGCACCCTGATTTTGTAGAGAAAACTCCTTGCTAGATTTGTGGCAGGTTCCTCATTCATTCTGTAGAGGTCTGGGGCCCCAAAAGTCAGATTTGGCTCTACAAAATGGGGACACCCAACCCCCCCAGGTCATTTTTTGGGGGTATTCTTTTTGGATCTACAATCTACAGTACCAAACGGGGATGAAGTGCGGGACACTATGCTGAAGCAATCTGAAGATTGCAGAGCGTGGTGAAAACTTCAGTCAAAGACAAAAGAGCAGCGGAAAAAACAGATGAAGCCAGCGTGCAGAGGAAAATCATGGAAAATCAGGGCCTCTACAAAATCAACAAGTGAATCAAGCTGATTTTTATACTTCAAACACTGGTTTCTCTACAAAATGCATTTTTTTCTGAGACAATTTTTAAAGGTTTTGTGAATCAATTTTTAATGCCTTTATATAGCAGATGGATTTCTATGATTTGGATTTTGTGGATTTGGAGGGGGTGACAGGTGTAAGCCCAGGTGGGGTTGCATGTTAAGATTTTGTAGATTGAAGATGTTCATGTTCAAATGACATGTTTCTGGTTTTGTAGGGCCCCCCCCCTATGTTTTTAGATTTGTGCATACAAAATCTGAACCCCCAACCCCCAGGGCTAACAAACGCAACTATCCATTAAATATGTTTTTTTTCAGCAAATGTTCCCTTGTTCGAGTTTCCGCATCGAATTGGAGGATATGCAGGAAAGTTCTGCTTCAGTTGTCATTGCTTGTCCGTTTTTCCCCATCAAATGTTAATATGTATAGTATGTCCAGTGCAAGGATTCATGACAATTCACATGTTTTGAAACCATCCATAGCATTTCAAGAAATTTGCGATGATTGTTTTTCACCAATTGTTGGGTGCATTTTGAACATGTCCGCATCAAATTGGCTGACTTCCTGATTCAATGTTCCCTTCAATTCTGGGATGTTCATGGCGTTCATGAAGTTAATCCATCACGGGGAATCGACTTGAAGGTTTTTTCCTCGAACGCTTAAGCAAATCCAAGCTTATGTGCACTTTCACCATTACCAAATGAGGTGTATAATTATAACTGGAAATCACTGATAAATGGATCAGATATGGACCAACCTTTAGGTTATATGGATCACATATATATATATATATTATAGTATATGGATCATATTTTGCATATTATATATATATACATATATTATAATTGGATAAATATACCATAAGTACTGAATTGTGACCCAGGATGGTTAATGATGAACCAACTTTGCGTCGCTTAGGAGGCCCTGGAGGTCGCCGCCTCCTTTCGTTGGAAGCGCCACGAGTTCCGGGAAGCTGCCAGGTGGTACCAGGAGCGACGAAAAGTGGAGGTCTTCACCAGCAAAAATCATGGGATTTTACCAGCAAAAATCATGGGATTTCAGAGGATTTCAGAGGATTTCAGCATCAAACATAGGCCCTATGTCATGCGATGTCATGCGAGTTAAATTAAACGTGATTTATCGTTGGTGAGAATTTCTCAGTTTCACTGGTGGGCTGTGGGAACATCACCTCAACTTACAAATTGGTTTCTATTTGCACGATTGAGGGGTTTTGACACATTCTGTATTTCTGTTTTCTCATGCTGTATAAGTTGACAGAGTTTGCCATCACTGTACAATCAGGTAAGAGGAATTGAGCCGGCACAAGTCTACCAAAAGATTTACAAATCCACACAAGATTTGTTCAAACCAATGTCCATCACAAAAACTCTATACCTGATCTGTTAAATGTCCTTTTTTTTCCAGCCTTTTCTTGGTCATTTTGGATCAAGAGCTAGCGAGTTCCATCCATTGGTTCCACCGTGACCCATGGCCCCCATCGAATGCGTCCGGCAGTCGCTGCCGCTAAGCCACGCCTTCGGTGTGCGACGCTCGCGCCTGGGAGGACAACGATGGAGGAAGCAGTGGCCGGAGTCACCCGGAGACGAAGGATGTGAAGGGATCGTCCCCCAGGGATTCATATAATTAGTATACAATGGGTCTTTTACAAATGCCTTATGATGTTGTATCTATATATAATATAATATAATATTATATTATATTATATTATATTATATATGTATATTGTATTATATGTATATATATATATGATATTATATATATATATATATTGAATTACATATATATATATATATATATATTATATTATATATATTGTATTATATATATATATTATGTCAGAAGGACATGTGATCTGGCTAGGCCGCTGCCTTAGACCATGGACTGCTGGTCACTGCACTGCTGCGCCGTGCATGACTAGCTTGAAACCCGTCCGCGCTATCTATATATACATATAACTATATTATAATATGTTGTATATATATATAATAATAATAATAATAATAATAATAATAATAATAATAATAATATATATATATATTGTACATGTGTGTGTGTGTTGAATTATATTTAATACTATGCGTATTTTGTAACCCGTGTATATGTATGCATATTAGTATGTCTTTTAGAACCAACTTGAACCAATTTCCATTGATGGACCCTTTTAGAGACACTGAAAGGCTTTGCACAACGTTTTTGTGCTCTTGAGCCTTGAGCTTGTTGGAAAACCAGACATTCAAGGGCCGATGGTCACTCTACAACATTTTGCAAGTTGTTTTATGACCAAACCACCAAAGAGTCTGATGACTTGAAAGCCACCAAGTCCCCCGTCCTGGAGTGCATTGAAGTGGGATTTGGAGCTGCCACATCAAGCGCGTGGCTGGGGCCGCATGGGTTTTCCGCTAATTGTTGTGTCACACTGAAAAAGATGCCTGAAGGATCAGTGATAATCTGAAAGAGTACTCTTTGGTGGTTTGTTGGAGATGGTTCCCAAGATGCTTGTGCTATGTTTCAATGATTCGGTTCAACGCACCAATCCTACGACAACAATGAGTATCTCAAACATCAACAGGTGGAGTTTGGGGTTTGGCTTTCACGACAAGACATTTCATGTATGTTCATCCCCCAACTAATCCAGGGGCCTTATTCCAAGCGGGTCAATTAAAGCACGCTCAGTTTTTTAAAAATTCGAGAAATCGCAATTGTTCCATTCCCAGCTGCAATTCTCATTTGGGTATTGGTCAAAATTAACGATCCCAAATGTGGGTGGTTCAAGAAGTGTCGGATTAACATTTGCCAAGAATCTTGCCCTTCCAATTGTTAATTGGATTAGTTTAAAGGAGCAGTCGCAAGGGTCCCCTACATGAGAAAACAACAACACAATATATGATTTTGTATTGTTGCAGGAGAGGCGCCCCTTTGTGTTTTTGGACCAACTTCGGTTGACAGAAGGGCCGCGGTTGGGCGTAGATGAACAGCGGGTGAGGTGGAAACTACTTGGCTGGCCTGCAGACCACCAAGACTCCACCGAAGGCGGCCTGGTATTCTTGTGGCCCCTATGGCCCCCATGGGGTTGTGGTACCTGGAAGTGGGGTATAGCCGGTATAGCGGTATAGTCATCAAATAGCAATTGGCATTTTAAAATGAGGAACTGCGGGATTTAGATGTGATTTAGAGCTACTTTCCAGAGCCACATGAAGGAGAGACCCAAAAAAAAATCCTGGAAGACTACTTCATCAATTATTGGGAATATGTTTGGTGTAGTAGCATTGTACGGAGTAGCATTGTACAGAGTAGTGGGAATACTTGAAACAGTCCTAAGAATAACGGACCCCAATATGAACAATTAGATCTAATACATTTGCCAAGATTTCGATTTGAATATTGTGGTGAGAACATTAGTTAGGAACCATGCGCGTACTAACCTTTGCTCCCTAATACTAAAACACCCCCCCAAATGCTAAACACGGTGATCTATTTTTATTATTAGGGGGTATTTAGTATTAGGGTGCCCTAATAATAAAACCAAAACCTTAATAAACAAATTAAAAAACGAGTTCGAAAAAATGGGACCCTAAGAATAAACTTACGGGTCTCGTTCTATGTTTATTAATGGGGGGTACAAACCATTATTTCACCATCCTGTTCTCATTGATTTTCAATTACCACAATTAAGAACGCAATTGTGAGCAACCAAAAAAAAACCGAAAGTGGCAATCCAATCCTAGTCTTATTCATTGGGGGCCCGGGGGAGCTTTAGCCATAGGGAGAGGAGATTACAACTACGAGGGTTTTGCCATTTAAGATATCGAGATTGCTCACAAGCGTGGTTAGTCGAATTTAGTCGACCTATATATTTCATTAAATTCTCAGTATATTTCTTCAATTTTAAGTGACACTTTTTATTTACAATTTTCATGGCTGAATTTGTTCCCGGGCAGTTGGAATGGCAGTGTTTCATTGAGCTTTGGAACGGCGTTGCAATCCACTTGGGGATGGGTCAACAGTCAACGTCAGGAAGCCATGGTTGCATATGGTTACTACATTCCCAACTGATCCACTTGGTTAGCCCCAAAATGGCAAGATTGGATACCAACTATGATAGTTATACTCATTTACCATGAGCTACATTGCCAGGGTTTAGCTCTCGGGCTTTGTCGGGACTTTTACCAACGCATGGCCAGCCACTTCAGTGATCCTCGCGGAGGTGCCTCTTCCCAACTTGGACATCTCAGCAGAAGCTCTTTGGAACTCTTTGGAGGAGTTTCGAGCAGTGCCCTGGCCCAAGTTTTTCCCGCTTGGGTGGAATCAGCCACTTTGAGCGACTCATTGGCAGATTCGTTGGTTTCGTATGTTTGGCATCAAGGATTGCCAAATTTGCAGGTATGATGATTGTATGAGGCTATGGATGCTGATCACCAGGAGGGGGGGAAGAAGAGAATGCTACCATATGCTACTGTTGGCCTCGATCAAGTGAGCATGAAGACTCCGGTGGACTGCGGGCGACCGGTCACCGAGGTGCATGCCGAAGACACCCAGGTCTTGCAGCAGCTGCTGAACAAGGTGAAGCTTTGCCCAAATTGCCAGCCCCTTCGTCAGCATCGAGGTCGAGGTGCAAGTCCTGGAAGTCATTGAGGGCTAAGAGTCTAAGAGGATCTAAGAGGATCTAAGAGGATCTATATAAAGGGGTGAACCAACAAGAGCTACTGTACGAACACCATCAGTTCCCTAAGATTTATTACATTTATTCCCTTCTCAAGGTCCTTTACAAACACATGATCTGTAGGAAATACATGACAAATTTCGCAATGCTTGGCGCCGAACATTGATGATACCTCGGCATATGGTGAGCCTTCCGATCATGGAAGCTGCAGGAAAGCTTGCGCGCACACCATGCACCAATGCAACAATTGTTGCACTCACCTGACTGACCCTGGGCTTGCAGATGCTTCCAGAGTTTGTGGTTGAAAGATATCATGTGCATTAGTTTGCCCAGTCGCATTTGCATGACAAGGTCTTTTTTTGAGCTGGTATAAGTTTCGATGTTGGAACTTGGAACTAGTTGGGGATACTGGGTACAACCTTTCTACGATGTGAAGTGCAGAAATCATCAGAAATCCACGGAGAGGCCCATCGGTCCCAGCCTTGTGGCTTTCTCTATCGCCTGAGGAGGATACCCTTGCTGCCACCGACAACGTCCTCATGGCCTTCGTCTTTGGAATCCAAAAGGGTCGCTTTCCTCTCACCATCTCCATGCGTGCTTGTACCAAGGAGAATCCCCAACGTGAAAGGTAAAGGCTTGTGTGGAACGTGGTTTACCAACGTTTTTCGCAAGGGGTGTTTCCAACCTACTGATGATTTGCGATTTTTTTGCTGTACATCAAGAGGCTCGACAGATGCAGGGAGAGGCCTTGACAAAGATGATATGTTTCATATAGTTTTTGTCCGTCAGAATCTGTGTTTTTGCTGGTGTTTGCCGAGAATGGGGCTGCGTTCAATGTATAGAATTCGCATGATTTCGCATGCATATCATATATGATGAAGTTGCAAATTTGATTCATTTGATTTTTGTCGGTGAAAATTGATGTTAATGGACCATTCATGTAGGAGGGTGCATGGCCTCAAGACCTGCTAAGTGATGGCAATTTCTGGTTGGTGCTTTAAGACACTGATTCCTTCCCTCACATTCCACCCCAGAATAGATCCTCCGCTTCCACTTCCGCTATAGCCGCTATGGGGTGTCTCAGCAACCAAGTGATGTCGCTGCAGGAGTTTCTGGTCTTTGACGATCCCCTCTGTGTCTCCGTGTGCCACCTGAATGTCATTCCAACGAAGGTCTACATTCCAGATTTGCGCTACCTTTTTAAAGACCCTCTTCGTCGTTCGGCCTTGAAGCATGATTCCTGTACCCAAACTTATCCCAAACAATCGTCATCAATTGTTGTTTTAAGATGGTTTAGGCCTTTAAGATCTTTTAAGGATATATCTTATCCCCGGATTGTTGTAGACTTCATTCAGGTTTAGCGAAACAGATTCACCATGTTTCACATTGTTTCACCACGCTGCATCTCACTCAGGTGGACGAAAGATCGTACATGCCATGTTGGAACAGGTGGACACGGTCTGTCTGGAACAGCATTGGTCCGATGAGAAGAGACTTGGCAGAAACCAACTCTTGGAAGGAAGGGGCCAACCGTGGTGGGGCCAACCTGTCTAGTTGGGTTCTTATAAGCAAATATGAGAGGGTTTTTCCAACAAGGGGGTGCAGCATGCCCCAAGCATCCCCCAATCATGAGTGGCACTCGCAGCAGTGATGAGAACGTGACATGAAGAACAACATGTCATCCAAATTCCCAGTAGAGGCCATCAAGACTGGTCCCTTCAAAGTGGACAAATGATTTTGCCTGATTTGGCCTCGTTCACGCGTATGCTTCCCTTACGTGTAATAGTTACATAGTAACTACATGTAACATCATGTAACTATGAACTTGAGAGATGGCGCTGGAGAGAGAGATAGTCTGAGATAGTCATTATATATCATTGTACTATATATATATATATATTACTAAATATTTATATATATATATATATATGTTTTCCATTTTTTCCATCTTTTTCCAACCCTTCAAAATCCTTGGAAGATCGACTTTTGGCACCAGGTTTCGGGCTGCCTACCTGCAGGCTGCCCCCGGCCGCGAGGCCTTGCGATCGATGGGCACGGCTGGAATGAACTTCCCACCATCGCAGCAGCAGCGGCTAGGCCATGGTGGAGATCCTGATGGCACTGCCGTGACATTTTGATTATATAAAGCCTATAGCTATATACACTATTATAATTATTTATATTAATTATATATATTATATATATTATTTATATTTATATATTATATATATATTATATTATATATATATTATATATATATTATATTATATATATTATATATATTATATAATATATTTATATATTATATATTATATATTATATATTTTATATTATATATCATATATCATATATCATATATTATATATATAATGCTATATACTTTTAATATCTTATAATAAATTATGCATCAATATGCTACAATTACACATCGTTGCTGGTCAAATGCATCATGATTGTCATTTTCCTTTTGAAGCAAAAAGCGTTTGGAGGATTTGGGGCCATGGGCGGTTAGACCATATTCCCAACATGGTGGTGGATTGGTCCCGCTGAGGCTCCATTTGCAATACGTGCACGGACCGATGCTTCCCTTTCAGTACGCTGTCTTCAAGGATGGATTACACCTGCAGTACAAGCGCTTCTTCCCGGTGCAGTTCTTGCTGGATAGTCTGGCAGCAGGGGACAAGGTGAGACTTGATGCTTGGCTCGGTATATTGCACAATGTCCCAAGCCACAAGATAATGCTTGCCAAAAGCACATCAATTAATGGTTATATATATATATATATAGTTGTACAATGTTATACAACAAGAAAGGGCAAGAAATGGTAAGAAATGGCAAGAAACGGTAAGATATCAGGAAATCATGAGAAACCCATTGCAAACCAATAGCTATGCCACGCAGACGCCTTTGCAACAAGACACAATCATCTCCCCCTTCGTACCATCTCATACCAGACAGCAAGGATGTGCATGAGAATACCGACATTGAGGAGATCATTCAGATGGCGGCAGTTGTTGGTGTGGATTATGACTCTTACTGGAGTCAGATGTGTGCGCAGGTCAACACTATTCAAGAGTCTTGCAGCCCCTGGCGTGAGGCGGATTTCATGTATCTTGACGGTAGCATATTTGTGGTAAGCCGACACTGAGATTGGCTCTCTAGACAGCCCACCATGTAAATCCATGTGCATCCACTTATGGACCCTTGTTCGATTGCCAAAGGGTATTCTCCGTTGCCATGTTTGATTGCCGGAGAGTGCTGGGCTATCAGGATCTATGAGGCAAGTCCTGTATCCAAGCGCATGTGTTTTTTTATTTTGGAACCTTGTTTCTGAAAATAGATTTGGCTAGCTGGAAGTGCGAACAGAATCTGACATCATGATGACCATCATCATATTCATACATATTCATCAATATTCATCAATATTATTAATATATATATATATTCACCATGTTCATCATAACCAGCGCAACCACAGCTCTGACTAGGCGGCAAGGTCCAACACAAGCAGTCCTTTATATACATATATAAATATATATATATATATGTATGTATAGGTAGATAATTTAGTTGATTTCTTATAGCAACGCATCTTAATTTGTTCATTGAACTCGAGTTTTGCTATGGAAAGTTCCCAGTACGTTGCTTTCCTTACATTGTTGCTGACCTCATCTCGGCTAGACTCCAATTCGGGCTTGAAACGGGTTTGCCGTTTGTGATATATTCGTGCCATAGATTTCATATATATGTCCATTTAATTACAGTATTTATAAAAGATCATGATTCTCACATTGCCTAAACATAGATCATGATGAATCTCATATGTGCTCAATGGTTTTAAACACACGCACACGCATATGCGCATATATAAGTTTATAGATATATACACAGTATACACAGTATGTATAGACCTATCGTCCATGATCATATTATGACTAGCAGATAGGTTCCTAATGATATCATAACTACCATTTGTCATTCCATCATCCTAAAAATACCCTTTGGCAATCTAACGGCTGTGGAATATGTCCCGTTTGTACAGTAGATGATTTTCAGAACATTGAAAATGGTGGTTCCCCATGGCTATGTAAACGATTGCCGCATGGTAAAATGGACTATACAGAATGCATATGTATATATATATACACATACATACCAAAATCCCCAGCAAATCATATTAAATTCCATTATCTAAATCACTCTGAACCCCCATCAAGTCCAATTAAGCACATGTTTTCCCACCTTTTTCCAGTGGTGTGCTTCTTCCTAGGTATCGCATCGTGGGGAAAAACGTTTACGATGCCCAGACGGGGCAAGAGCTGCCGGAGCTCAACGTGAAGGCGATCCAAGCTGCAGATGCGACTTGGACAATGGAAGGAATAATGGAATAATGATGCACCTAATGATAATACTAATGGTAGTTAGATGTAGTTAGTATTATCATTAGGTATACATCATTAGCTACTTGGATATATATATATATATATATACCATCTAGAATATTATTGATGTTGATTCTTGATGATTTTTGTTATATAATATTCTTATTCCATAATTATTGTGATAACCTTATAGAATAATGGAAATAATGATAGAAGAAACCGTGGCAGAGAAAAATAAAATAATGGAAACAAAACATGTTCATGTTTCTAATGTTGGTAGTGGAATGCTGTGTGGTTAAACAATGTTAATAATGGAATCACCACTGGCCTGGCAAAAAAAAAACACACAAATGAAAACAATGGAACATGTTTTTCCCGTGTGTGTTTGTGTGCGCGTTTGCAGTTTTAATTGGAACTTGATTTGAAGTTGATGAACTCTGATGTAGTGCTTAAAACATGGAAAAACATATTCCTGATGGAAACCAATACTACACCTGTGGACATTCTATCGAATTTGATGGATTTTAGTTGGATTTCAATGTTGCGGTAAATTCAAGAATGGTCAGGGCTGTTAATAGGTGCTAAAAGGACAGAACACCTGCTACAAAACTCTGCATTTGGATGTGTTTGGTGGATTTGGATCAATACTGTAGACATCAAAATGGTTTTGCGTAGAATTCATATTTTTTTTTCTAATGATGTTATATTATTTAGTTCTGTGATTCAATGGATTGGTGTAAGGGAACATGTACAGGAAACCCCTATAGCCTATCTTTTATCGGAAAACAAAAACCTAGTTTCCTGCAATTTTTCTCTCAAAACAATCCAATAAGTGATGTTTTATATGTTCTATCCAAAAAAAACAACATATTCCCAGGTGAAGCGCCTCCAAAGCTACGGCTGTGGCGCTACAGAGCCTGGGAGGTGCTGCTACTATCCCTTCGCGAAGAGGGCAGTCCCTTGGCGGGTCGTCATGGGGGGCTGGGAATAGCTGGATGAAATGATGACACTTGGAGACACTTGGAGAGACCCATGGATTGGGTGGATTTTTATTGTTGGAGTTAAACGGTCCAATTTTTTTGGGGGGCGACACGTTGGTTGATTTGTTGCTGATGTTTGCATGTTTGCGGAAGAAATTAGTCCTTTGGATTTGAATGGCTTATCAATTTCTCAACTATCTGGGTCTTTGCAATCAGAAGTCCGGCGGGTGCCCCGATTTGAGATCCAATTTGTCCATCCGAGGCAGAGATTGAATCATGGAAGTGAACAGCATGAGTGGGGTCCTTCGTCCCCAAAATGAATTCGAGGTTGCATGTAACGTAGATCCGCTCGGATCACTTGTAGAGATCCGGTCCCTATGCCCCCCCACTCCCCACTGGCGTCTCTGTACAGGTAGGGAGGGCCCACTGAACTATCGTCCAGGAAACACTCTGCGCGAGCAAGGCCGTGGTCCCACCCTGCAGGCACCGATTTGCTGGAAAGTTGGTGCAGGTCCCAGTCCTTTTCTGTATAGCCTGGCCCCAGACAGGGGCAGCCAACAACCTTGGGCTCCAGTAGAGGGCCTGAAGAAATCTATGTGGTGCGTTATCCCACAGAAGGCTGATATATAGCCTGATGCAGCCGTGCACAGTAAGACTCAGTAAATGGAGGACGATCAAATGTGAGGGTTTCATCCAACATCATCACCAAACTCTTTCCTTAGATGTCATGATTCAATAATAGTTCAGGAGGTTCAAGTGGGCATAATTGTTTTTCCCCCAGCGTCCTTCCCGATGTTTGCAGACATCCCTCAGCAAAGACAGGGAACAAGACAGGCTGCAGAGAAAGTTGGTGCTGTGCAGACTTTTTTTCTACAGTTGCGGCGTTTGTTTGAAATGTTTGACCCCAAAGTTCATTGATCTAGGGGAAAAAATTGCATGACATGTCATGAAATGATCATATTATATAGTAAGTGTTGGTGGGAAGTTTTATAGCCGATGCTCGCAACTATGCCCCTCATGATTTGTCTTTCCACACGCCTTCACCAAGGTACTGTGACAACTGTGCATGATTTAGGATATTTCAAGAAACACGCATGAGGAATCATGAGGACATTTATGTGCAAGTAGGCCTCCTGCTTTGCATACCGCCGTTATCCATATTGATTACATTTGACATGATTCAGTCAGTGATCATGTTTCTTCACGAATGGGACGGATCAAAGCCCTTCGTTCTACCACGTTTGCAGGGATGAAACCCAAATTTGCAAACTATTTTGATGCTACACCAAATGACACCAGGGTTTTGAGCTGCAGGAGTTGGAGAAAATGGACAGCAACTACCTTTGGCCATGCAGGTTGGCGCAAGCCCAGCTGCACTTGGACGATGTCCACGAAGCGCTGCTCGGCAGAGAGTGAGCGCATCAAAAAAGTGACTTACATAGAAACCTCGTAGCAACTATGCTATTAGGCAACTATGGCTAAGCATTTTTTTGTGAAAGGAAGTGGCAGTGGACAAATTCAATTGAGATAAATTACACTCCATGGTCGCCATCAGAGTGGATTGAATGATCACAATGCTAAGGCAAAGTAGCTTGCAACGCGCTGGGGAACGCTTACGTCGCTCCGAGAAGGCGTAGGGCCGTTGGGGGTCGCTGGTGGGGATGGGTCAGGATCTTCATTGATGTTCCATAAAAGGGGGGAATGAACGTCCAGCAAAGCGGCAGTTTAAAATATCCGGAAAAAGGAAAGCGTGGATCTTTAGAATCTTTAGACTTGAGTGATGGTGCTTGGTGGACGAAGCTGAGCTATGTGAAGAATTTATCTCCCATGGCGAGTGGAATCCGGGGGCGCCGTCCTCAACGTCCAGGCGATTGAGAGCCCAAATCCAGCGGCGGAAGCAGAAGTTCGGACTTGGCTCGGCTATGGATGCTGGGTGGCAGACCGATGGTAGTCTCAAAGGATGATGAATACCCCCCGGCACCCCCAATCCAAATCCCCGTGAAGCATATTGGATTCTGTTAATTTTCGGATCCAGTCCAGTACTGAGATATTTAATAATCTGATAAGCAGATATAATCAGGGGATTGTACAGTATTTGAAAGCTAGTGAGAGTTCACTCTTGGGGTCTCTTGGGGTCTTCCTGTGCCATACTGCAACTTCACTTGCTGGGAAACAATGGGGTAAACAAGAATCCAGCTATGAGGGGTATGAACCAACATCAATACGGGAATTAAGTCAACAAAAATAGTGCTGCTCTTGAAGCTCTATGCCAGTTGGTGAGCAGTATGATCAGAGCACCGCATCTTTTTTTAAGGGTGATAAGCCAGATGTTAGAAGTGATAAGCCAGATGTAAAAGGGGATAATAACCTCACGAATTCGGGACAACCCTAGCCAGGGCTGTGAACCACTTACTACCTGGGCTCAAACTTGGTCAGCTGTTGGTGTCCAAACTTGGCCCTGAGAATCCCCAGTGACACTTGTTACTCATAAAGAACAGATCCATCCAAAGGTTTGGGTTAAAATTGTGGTTTCCAAATATTGTGGGATTAAAATAGCAGGTTCCCACAAGATGCATCCAAATGTTTGGCACAATCGGTTGAAATCCCCTTTTTATGGGAGAGCAACTAGTGATTCTACCATGACAAGCCCCGCTAAGGACTACTTCTGTTTGCTTCTCAGCAGTGGTGCCCACCAACTTTTGGTCATGGTGAGGACATCCAAGCCTGAGGGCAAATGATTCAAAACCATATCCATGGTGTGGGTACTTTTGAAATTGTCCATCCCAAACGGCCAGGGTTCAGTACATCCTGTGCATCTAATGCTACTTTTCTGGCCATCTCCAAGTGAACATTTCTGTCAAGAACCTTGAGTCAATCTATTTTAGGCATTGTTTGAGCATTTTTTGGGCGTTTTTGTGGCAACATTTCACATGGGCCGCACCCAGCTTCAGTATTCCTTTCGATGCAAGGCAAGGCGATGTTGAGAAAGCGGCCGAGAAGTTGTCGCAGGCCGATCGGTGCAATTCAGATTCAAGGGGGGAGAAGGGCCCAAGAGCTATCCCACTGAATTACCCAGTTGGTTGGTATGCATACAAAACATGTATGATTATTTATTTGAACAGTTTTAAAATGAAAAATATACGTGTATTACGTATAATTATATATATACACGTAATATATATATATATATACACACACATATATATATATATATATATGTGCGTTTATGCATTTGTATATGTGTATATAACATGAAGTTGTTTTATATCAAGAAGTGGTAGTTCAGCGCATGTAGCTTGGAGTCCTGTCAATTCTTGCATTTCTTGAGGTCTTTAATGGATGAAGGAAACATGCGCAGGAAACATGAGGTTCTTCCTAGTGAATCTATGATACTGCAATATATTATGGGGTTCCTGTAACCTTCCTTCAAACCGATTCCATTAAGCATATGTTCAGTGGATAGAAATGCAGCAAAATCCAGATATTTTTTATCCATTAAAATCATTTACAATCAATCCATTGAGATATATTAACATCCAGTCAAATCTCCGTGATGGGAAGCAATGTTATCCAATTGAGCCTCGACGACTCGAGCAAGGCTTCTCGGGTGTCGAACCAGGCCTCCACACACCTCTTTCAGGCCAGGTTCTGAGGATGACTACGACCGGAAAAGCCTTGGTGTGTGGGTAGTTTAGTGTTGGTTAATGATATTTAGAATACATAATATTTACAATATCATTAACCATCACTAAACATAATAATATTTACCTATTTCATAGTTAATCATAATAATATTTACATTTTTTAATACTGGCATGCATTACGTTTGTTATAATGATATTCAAACTGATGTTTGATGTTTAGTGATGGTTAATGATGTTTAGTCTTTTTTTGTTACCAGTGGTGCGCACAAAGGAGGCAGCTACAAGTCGACATGTGTTATCTACCAGACTTGTTGAGCAACCAGGGCAGTCATCTCAAAGTTAAGTAACCACCCAAAGGATGGGAAGTTTTACCCTCAAATCCAATGGATTTATGGAGCAAAACCTCTGGCCCAGACACAGCCACATATTAAATATAGAAATCTGGTTGGTGGTTTCAAACATGTTTTTGTTTTATAATATACGGGAGAATCCTTTCCCATTGACGCACTCATATTTTTCCAGATGGTTAAAACCACCAACCAGATTATTATTAATCATCATTAACCATATAATAACCACATATTAACCATAATTGACCATCATTAACCAACCAGAAACCATTTATTGCTGAGTAGAACATCCCAGCTATTTGATCTCCCAGAAGGTCACTACCAAATCTACCAAGGCCCTGGCCTTTCAAGTTCTGGGCCGCGATGGCAATAGCGCCTTAAATGTGGCGAAGCATTGTGAGCCGCGCTTGAGGGAGGCCGGGGGCCCACTGCACGCCGATTCTTGGGGTGCACAAAGATCACTTAGACCTTCCAAATAGCCATGGAACTGTGCATTGTGAGGTATTTGTTCATTTGGATTTTTAATGTCAAATTAGGGTGTTTTACCCAAAGATGTGAATTGTGTTGATACGTTCACTAATTCGTTACCAGGTATGTTCGAAGGAGCCCTGTGGCCCTATGATGTTTTGCAATGACAAATTTGGTCCATAGGTTGCCCATCTTTGTTGCAGTAGTGATATGGGTGCCAAAATGGAGCCGTTAGTATCAAACCCATCCAAGTTGGATTCATCCACGGCCCTTTGTTGCTCAGGTGGCTCACCGTTTGCTGCCTGCTCTACCAAGCAGGCCGCAAAGCCTGGCTTGGGAATGAACCATATTCCTCTTTGAAGGTGATTGACCATGTTCAACACCGTGGCAGCTTGGTATGTATCATCCTGAAGTAGATAGAATATGGTATTTACAAATGGTGAGGATTGTTTCAACATGTCATATTCTACCTCTTCCAGGATGACTCTAATGTAGCTTGATACATTTTACGGGTTCTCCAATCTGAGAATTGCGGCTATTTTGGGATAGCTACCACAATCCAAACTGGTTGGGAGTGTCGTATATATTTATGTGTGTGTGTTTCCCCTTTGGGACCATTGGTTGAGATGAATAGCATTGTTTATGGGATGGGTTAACATCCAGCAACCAAATAGTTATATATTATATATAGTTATTTGAACCCTCGGGATGACGATGGAGAGAGAGAGAGAGAGTTATCTATATATATGTACATAATATCATTACTCATACTGGGACATATTATCAATAACTAGAACTATAGTTGATATAGTGTTATAAAAGTGTAGATGACATATATATATATATATATACATATGATAATGTATTGTGATATGATGATTGTATATATACAGAGATTGTTATCAGATGGCACTATCGCAACTATATACGTCTCAGAATCATATCGATGATGATATATACAATCTATCCTATCTACCCTATCTACCCTATCTATCCTATCTATCCTATCTATCCTATCTACCCTATCTACCCTATCTATCCTATCTACCCTATCTACCCTATCTACCCTATCTAACCTATCTATCCTATCTATCCTGTCTATCCTATCTATCCTATCTATCCTATCTATCCTATCTATCCTATCTATCCTATCTATCCTATCCATCCTATCCATTCTATCACTCCTATCTATCCTATCTATCCTTTCTATCTATCTATATTGTATCTTATCTTATCCTATATTATCTTATCTTATCTATCTTATCTTATCCTATCTTATCTAACCTTATCCTATCTTATTTTATATTATCTTGTCTTATCTATCTATCCTATCCTATCTTATCTTATCTTATCGTATTTATCTATCTATTCTAATCTAATTCTAATTCTCATTCTAATTCTACTTCTACTTCTACTTCTACTCTATTCTATTCTATTCTATTCTTTTCTATTCTATTCTATTCTATTCTATTCTATCTATCCTATCTTATCTTATCTTAGCTTTTCTTATTTTATCCTATCGTATCTTATCCGATCTTATCTTTTCTTAGCTTACCTTATTTTATCCTATCGTATCTTATCATATCTTATCTTATATTATATTATCTTATCCTATCTTTTCTTTATATCCTATATGATCTTTTCTTATCCTATTTTATTTTATCCTATCTTATCTTATCTTATCGTTTTTATCTATTCTATTCTATTCTATTCCATTCTATTTTATTCTTATTCTATTCTATTCTTATTCTATTCTATTCTATATTCTATTCTATATTCTATTCTATATCCTATTCTATATTCTATTCTATATTCTATTCTATATTCTATTCTATATTATATTCTATATTCTATTCTATATTCTATTCTATATTCTATTCTGTATTCTATATTCTATATTATATATTCTATTCTATATTCTATTCTATTCTAGTCTATTCTATTCTATTCTATTCTATCTATCTATCTATCCTATCTTATCTTAGCTTTTCTTATTTTATCCTATCGTATCATATCCAATCTTAGCTTATCTTATCTTATCCTATCCTATCTTATCATATCATGTCTTATCTTATCTTTTCCTATCGTATCTTATCATATCTTATCTTATCTTCTATTTTCTTATCTTATCTTATCTATATATTCAATCTTATCTTATCTTAGCCTATTTTATCTCATCCTATCTGATCTTATCTTATCGTATTTATCTATCTATTCTATTCTTTTCTAATTCTTATTCTTGTCTACATTCTATTCTACATTCTATTCTACATTCTATTCTACATTCTGTTCTATATTCTATTCTACATTCTATTCTACATTCTATTCTATATTCTATTCTATATTCTATTCTATATTCTTTTCTATATTCTATTCTATATTCTATTCTATATTCTATTCTATTCTATTCTATATTCTATTCTATATTCTATTCTATATTCTATTCTATATTCTATATTCTATTCTAGATTCATTCTATATTATATTCTATATCCTATTTTACATTCTATTTCAGATTCTATTCTATTCTATATTCTATATTCTATTCTATGTTCTATTCTATATTCTATTCTATATTCTATTCTATTCTATTCCAGATTCTATTCTATTCTATTCTATATTCTATTCTATATTCTTTTCTATATTCTATTCTATATTCTTTTCTATATTCTATGCTATATTCTATTCTATATTCTATATTCTATTCTATATTCTATATTCTATTCTATATTCTATTCTACATTCTATTCCAGATTCTATTCTATTCTATATTCTATTCTATATTCTATTCTACATTCTATTCCAGATTCTATTCTATTCTATTCTATATTCTATTCTATATTCTATTCTATATTCTATTCTACATTCTATTCCAGATTCTATTCTATTCTATTCTATATTCTATTCTATATTCTATTCTATTCTATTCCAGATTCTATTCTATTCTATTCTATATTCTATTCTATATTCTATTCTATTCTATTCCAGATTCTATTCTATTCTATTCTATATTCTATTCTATTCTATTCCAGATTCTATTCTATTCTATATTCTATTCTATTCCAGATTCTATTCTATTCTATAGCATCCCAAAGCTCGGTGCACGGCCACGGCCTCAGGCTTCAAGCGCACCTGGATCAACTCTTCGACGAGACTCCAGCCCAGTTTGGCTACAGGTCGGGGCGAAGCAACCATTTTTCAGGGGGATTTCACAGGAATTTCAGGGGGATTTCACTGCATTCAATGGGATGATTTCATGATGATTCAATGGGATTTAATGAATGCAACATGACCAGCCAACAATATTATATTTCCACGTGTCTGAAAATGTGGTATACCCATATCCTGCCATTTTTAGAGGGAAAATAGTGATCAACGGTGCCCTATTTTCAGACATAAGCTATGGGGATTCATGAACCCACGGCTTTCTAAATAGTCAGGATGGAAAGCCAAAGAAAAGAAACTGGCATGTGGCGTTTCAGTCTGGAACACCCAATAGGGTTTGATCATTTTAGATCAATCTGCCAGTCAGGGGGGTTGTATAGATTATATCTATCTATCTACCTATCTATCGATCTATCGATCTATCGATCTATCGATCTATCGATCGATCTATCTATCTATCTATCTATATATCTATATTACAGAGCTTACAAGACGCAGATGTTCTTTCTGGCCATGAGGAGAGCGACAGTGTTTTGCCAGGTCCACAGCTACACCAGCAGCTCCTTCCAGAGTTAGTGACTACCAGATGGGACAGAAGGTGGAGGTGGAGATTGGGTCAGAGCGGCCTGCAAACCTGGCCCATTGGAAGAAGTAGTGCCCGGAGTTTTCCATGGTTTAAACGACATGTACCCTTAAGGATACTTAAATATGTGGGGGGTTCATTTTGCGACAGTCATGGTGTGCATGATCATGATCATGATCATCATCATCAGCAGCAGCAGCATCAGCATCAGCATCATCATCATCATCATCATCATCATCATCATCATCATCATCTTTCATCATCTTTCATCATCATTCATCATCATTCATCATATTCATCATCATCATCATCATCATCATCATCATCATCATCATCATCATCTTTCATCATCATTCATCACCATTCATCATATTCATCAAATTCATCATATTCATCATATTCGTCATATTCGTCATCATATTCATCATTATGTTCATCATCATGTTCATCATCATATTCATCATATTCATCATATTCATCATATTCATCATTTTCGTCATTTTCATCATCATCAATCCTTCTCTCTAAAATTGTCCTCTCTAAAATTATGTCCCCCATGGCCCAAATGTGGCTAGAAGAACAAGACGGCTCTGGAAACGTGCTCCGCAGGTGTACAGCAAAAGCGCTGGAAGGTGGTTGCCTGCGGAGATCATACAGGCCTCGTCCGACCCACTTCGTTTGGGATTGGACAATTTGAAGTCACTGGATCACCATATCCCATTAAAATATATTAAAATCCCATTCCATCCATGAGAAAAATTCCCACCATTTTCCTCCTCACCCAGATGTGTGAGTTATAGATATACCATGATATACCAAGCCTGGATGATTTGGGCCCCATCTCTGCCATTACCCCTAAGCAATGGAAGATCTACCATTTTTAGATGATTTCCCCCGTTTCAACCTCCATTTCTGGGCGATTTCCCAACCATCACGTTTGATTGCCGAAGGGTAAACCTGCGGTAGCCACGGGTCATTTAGTTCTATGATCTACCTATTGAATCCTCTCGCAGTAAATATGGTGATTGTCCACACTGTTGAGATTCCAGAGGTAATCCATGTGAATATCCCATATCATCTATACTGTAAGTATTTCATCATTGTCGTTGGTTAAATCAGATTACTCCTAGTGTTTGTTGGCTAAACCATCTAATTTTGCATCCCCATTTCTGATTCAACAAACATGTGTTCACCATATCACATGAGCCATTCCCATTTTTTCTTGTTTAAATTCCAATCTCTTGGGGATTTAAAGCAACAGAAACTAACCAATTTGTGTGGTGAAATTCCAAGACTTTCACGTTGTTTTGGTTCGTTTCTGTTGTTTTTTCCCCATGATGCTTCGATTCCCCGAGGATCATCAGTTCTGAGACCGGTCGTTGCCAGGCTGAGGTCGAAACGGTCAAGGTGCGATATGGAGCCTCTTGGCGAAAAGCCGCCATTTGTCTGGAGGAAACTTGGTTTTCCGGACAGGGATTCATGATCATGGTAATAATTGCTGATAATGGTTAATAATGATTGATATTGATGATATTGATGACGATTAATGATAATGATGATGATGATGATGATTTTGATGATGTTTTTGATGATGATGATGATGATGATTGATGATGATGATGATGATGAATATGATGATGAATATGATGATGAATATGATGATGAATATGATGATGAATATGATGATGATTGATGATGATGATGATGATGATGATGATGATGATGATTGATGATGATGATGATGATGAATATGATGTTGATGATGAATGATGATGAAAGATGATGATGATGATGATGATGTGTTAGATTTGATAAGGCTGTCGCAGTCCGGCTGCGAGCAGTCCTGTGCAGATGCACCAGTGATGTTTCACCACCTTTATATTGACATGCCGGTAGCATTCAAATAACAAAACAGCACTATATGATGCAAGATGTGAATGAGGTTGGCCACGGGTCACAAAAGAATGCAGCCAACCAATCCTTTACTGTGGCGCCACCAGGCCACTGGAGATCCCTCCAAAGACCTTCAGCAGGGTGTCCCAGCGGCGAAACGTTTCTGTCTTTGGTTCCAAGTTTCTTGGAGTTTCTTTTGTTTTGTTTTGTTTGATTGATTCTTCAATTGATGTTTATACCCACCGGATGGGTATTCATACAGGGAAAGTGAACATCACCTGAAGTTGAATGTATTAATTGAAATCCTGGTCGAATGAGGCATTTTATTCTTTTGGGCTATGCTGCATATATTCGCGTTTTTTTGTTTTTTTTTCCGTGTCTTTGTTTTCAAACCAATGGTGCTACGTGAAGGGGCGGATCCAATACATGTTGTAAGTGCTTGGAGCCAAGACTTGAAATTCCGAGTCGGAAATTCCTGTCCGACCATCAAGTAGCAAAACGATGTGGGCATAGATGTGGCAATCATTTTAATCGAACCCGGCAACTGGCAATGGCATCAAAACTCATTGTAGGATAGATTTTTTTTGGTGGAAGGTAGGGGAGGTTCAATGCTCAGCAAAAGAGAATGAACCACAAATATATACTAATATCATTTCACATTAACGGACATCAACTATTGTAATCGTTGTTAGTAGTGATTCATATTTGGTCTGGTTCCAGTTCATGGGAGATTTGCCATGCCACAGCCCATGGCACCCCATGGCACTGACGCCAGTTTTCCCAGGTTCTTTGAGAAGTTGCTGCTGCGGAGCTCGGAAAATTTGAGGCGGAGCTGAGAGGAATGATGTTTTCAGATGATCATTGAATCATTATGTTCAATGTTTTCTGATGATTTACCCTCTGGTAATTTAACATAGCTATTGAAAATGACCATCTATAGTGGATTTTCCCATTAAAAATGTTGATTTTCCATAGCTATGTTAAATTACCAGAGGGTACCAGATGTGTCCAGATGTAAACAATGATGATTCTCAGAAAGTGTTTGACCATTATATGGGATGATTACTAGAATGGTTGTGCTAGAGAATGTGTTGGTTTCACAACGCGCATCCGTTAAAGAAAAATAAACCAAACAAAAATTTGGAGGGATTTTTGACAGAAATTTCTGAAATTCGGGTTGGTTGATGATTTGGTCGGGGATTCTATGATTTCAATTCATCAAATGAATCATGAGCTGGGAATCCCTATTAACAAACCATTATTGTGTGGTTGCTCAATGGGTTTTCGGCTGCATGAGCCGCTATAGCATATGGGCCGTATGGGTGACACATTGTTAGTATGTGAGACTGATTTTGGCCACGACAATGTCATGGGCAATGGTGCATTGTTAAGACTTGAGAAACATATGCAGCGGTTTGATATATAGTTTTCCTTGAAACATGTCATGTTGATGGGTGACATCCAAACCAACCAACAGGTGCCTTGTGGGCCTCCCATACCCGTGCCCATACCATTCATGAATGATGCGGTAAAATTTGAACCTCCATTTCTATAGTCTATGTTCAACATCGTCTAAATGCGACTTTACCACATATGGGTGACCTGGGATTTTCTAGGATTTTCTATGATTTTCTAATACCAAGCCGGCACCAAGCCAGCACAGCTGCAAGGATTATGTTTCAGCAACGCACTGAAGACTAAGTCCCCCCAAAGTGATCCAAAGTGTATGATTGCGGGGAAACCATCTCAAATGTTTGAACACCAAAGTACCATGGTCGCTTACAGCATTGCTCCCCACCCCAGCAGTTCGGAGGCCTGTGAAGGCCCAAAGCCTCGGGAAGCAAGCTGCAGCCCCAGATGTCTTACCATTCATGATGGTTAAGCCTAGGCCCATCCACCGAATCTTGAAATGTTATTTTTTGACATGTTTTTACCATCAAAATGCTGGTCTTACATGGCTTTACCATCCCAATTTGGGACCCCCAAATAGACCCAAGACTAAACCACGATGTCTAAAGTCTATGGGGAGGTATTTAAGAAAGGGCAGGGATTATTCAGCGAGAACCACGCCAAAAAAAGTAATATTTAATGATAATATAAGGTGGGCGAAGTATTGAGTTTCGCCGAATGTATTTCGATATTCTTCTGAAAGGGGTTGAAGCTGAACATTAAGTTGTATAGAAGTTTTATAAGTCATATACGCATTTCAAAGTGATTTCACCACATATTTCATATATGTCCATATAAATTGCAATACCGTAAACAGAAAAAGACCATATCATCAGGTCCATCGATGCATGAGGGTGTATCTTGCCGGGAGTGTTGGGAGGGTCTATTGCAGCGGTTCTGAATGAGGAAGTGTGGTGAAACATTACAAAAAATAAGTGTGCTTCAGAACAAAAATGCCTAAATTTGATGGTTGGCACCATTTCCCCATGAAAGTTGCTATGTTTGGGGTGTAGATCCTCTCTATTTTTGGACAAATGCATATCATATCGTTGGCTATATACTATATATACATATCCCATTCTATCCAATTAAACCCAAATAAAAGCACAGTTGGTGAAACCACCATTCTACCATGAAACTTGACTTTCCATTATTGTACCAGTATTACACCTTACTATGCCATTATGCCATTGCTATAACATGCGTACCAGTCCATTGTTACTATTTACCATTGTTATACAATGTGTTATGATATCCTATGATATGGTATGCCGATGTATTGATGATTAATGATGGGAGGTTATGATATTGCTATAACAGCATCATTCCATTACACCATGATGTTTAAGTATATATGGGTAGAACATTATATACAACATTACAGCATTCTCATTCCACATTATAACTGTTTTTTAAGCAACCACCCACTTCCACAGAAGCGTCCATGGCCTCCCAGGGTCCTGCAGAGAAGGTCCAGCGGGGGGAGATGGAGTTGGCATTGCCATAGATAGTCATGTCCCCTCGCACATATCATATCATATCATATGGTATGAGATGATATGATATGTTGCAAGGTATGTGTAAGAAACACATTTTTTGTACATCCTATTTGTTTACAGTATCTATCGTGAGTTCCTAGTGCAATTTGGTGGATTGGTCCAATATGTGGTTGTAAATCAATTATGGTTCGCAGGAAAATCCACCATGTCTAATTGATTTTCTCATTAAAACCTCCATCCATGAGGGATTTCCCCTTGCCACGTTCGATTGCTGGAGGGTATCGACGTTGACAGCGGAGCCAGCAGAGGCAAGTCTCCAAGGTCCGGGCCAAGGGAGGGAGTGGAGGTGTCCAAAGTCATAGGGGTACCCCAAATCATCCAAGTCATTAGACCGTTTTTAGTATTGAAACCCATGGCTTTGATGATTCTCCATTTTCACAAATCCCAGCAAACCCCCATACTATGTTTTTTTTAAAATAATCTTCCGTAAACCGACATAGATGTGGAAACCCCGCCATTTGCAGATCATTTTTCCTGGGAAACAATGGGTGTTCCACATCCATGTGAGTTTACCCCAGGCTGTATACTGTATACTTAGATTTGACACTGGTTTAAAGAAACCCATACTATGTTGTTTAATCCTACATCAACTTTCATATTTACATGTGTCAGCCTCTCTACACAAACTCACACACTGGTGACATATATATATATATATATCACACACACACATATATATATATATATGTGTGTGTGTGTGTATTGATATCAGGTGCAGATATGTAGCCATTAAAACTGCTACGATGTTTTGAATTGAGGACACAAAGTATGGGGAATGATGCAGTCTTCAGATTCACATAATTGGTTGTTACTAGTCTCGTCATATATTATCGTCTATTTCTTGTTGACAATGCTCAAGTGGTCCTGTTTTCAAAAATGATGCCGCTTTCTGAGGTGTTTCAAAGAATGAGAACTGAGAGAACCATGTATCATGTATTATCATGTATTATCCATGTATTATCATGTCATGTAGCAGTTGACCCTACTAGGTCCCAGTCAGGTTTCGTTTGCTTCACCAGTGGCCGAAAAATCCAGGCCGTCGCCTATGGCTCCGAAAGATTTGGCACCTCCACGCCGCGCGTGTGTCACAAACAAAGAGGCCAGCTGGTCATGGCCTCCATAGCTGACCAGCACTGGGGTTCTTTGAATCAGCACTGGGATTCTTTGGTTTTGGTTTTTTCAAGGTTTTTTTCAAGATGTTGAAACCCTAAATTGTGAATTTTTAGATGTTGAAGTTAACAAGGATGGGAAAAGCTGCCGATTGATCGACATAGTGTGTGTTAGATACTGTTAGATCTGATGATTTGTAAGCCTGGAAGGGGCTATTGGTCTCAAATCTATTTTCATTTGGGTTCAACAAGATGCCTATCAAGGCATTTGAACCTGCATAGATTCCCGGCTGAAAATTCTAGTTACTGCACAGAGGACATCCCCCACTTCAAAGTCGGTTGGATATGTATGTACATACATATACATATACATATACATATACATATACATATACATATGCATATGCATATACATATACATATATATTATATACACATACGATATTTGTTCTGATATATCCACCATAAATCCCAATGAGTTGTAAACCTCACTGGGACTCAAGGTAGCTATCTCTGTTTGCAAGAGCTAGCATCACCCCGACCTTGGCAGGTTGTACAGGAAGCTGCTGCGCGAGATTCCAATAATTTCATGTTGAACCCAGAGGATCTGCAGGTTGGCAAGGTCACGTCCGGGGTGAGCCCGTCATTGGGGAACCTGTAGATGCCCAGGAAGGCTGTGTTTTTTACTGGTTGGCATCTGTGGTTTAGGGGGTGTTATAAGCCCAGGGTGGTGAGTTGTGGTGTAAATCATCCTGAAATGCCAAAGCTATGCTCATCAGGGTGTTTTGACGTGTTAGAGTTTTTGGTGCCGAAAGTTCGTCCAAATTGTACCCAACGCCAATTTCTACGCAGAACTGGGGTTGTTTGCCAAATTGCCTACTTCCAAATCTTCCAATCCGAATGATCAGCAGAAACTTATTTTATAGATTGGTGATTCAGCAGGTTCTGTTGATTTGCAATATGTTGATTGATCCAATTTGATCCACATGTTTGTTGTTCACATACATAGTTTTATAGATTGATTCTCGGTTTTGCTGGTTGAAAATGCCTCCCTCACCAGTTGAGATGGGGTTTTGCTGGTTGGAAATCCATTTCAGTGATGCCTAGGGGCAGGATGTGAGCCATTTTTCGGCTCATCCTGGCACTTCGAGGCATCAAAATCACTTCAGTTAAGAATGGAGTTCCCCTGAGAAAGCGGAGAATCCCAGATATAAGTGGTATGTTATTTTTAAGTCTATAAACATAAACTATCTATGATTTATATTATCACATATAATTATATATATATATATTTATGTTCTATGCTATAAATTCCTAGATTCCCTGTGGTTATAGGTGGTTGCTGCCTGGCCCACAGAGCTAGCGCCAGGTCTTAGGCTCGGGTGGCTTCGGGGCGGTGTACCGTGGCACGTTCCGTGGAGAAGAGGCGGAGTCCGGCGGAGAATCACCAGTGAAATATGGGGTCTTGGAGTGTGCCTCATATAAATGGGTTATAAATGGGTTATTTTCTAGAAGATGCGGGAAGCGATTCATGGGAAAATGTCATAAAATGTCTAGAGTCCCAGAGCTTCCTGATTCTGGTCCCGATTCTGGGACCATGGGTGAACAGATTAACAGGCAAATTGGGCAGAATATGACGCATACCTGATTTCATAGATGGCACCAGTACGTAGTTGCAGAACATAGAACAACCTTGGGATCAGGAAGCCAATTTACCAGTGCTGGGCGCGCAGCATAGTGTTGTGATAGGTTGCCATCAAAAAGCTGCACCTCGTTGATGGACAGGCCAGGAATTTGGGACTTCGCCCCGCTCCCCACGGAATTTCAACGTATATGTGAGCGCCGTGAAATCTCTGTGACCTCTTGCCAATACTCACAACACTTCAGATGCAATATGTGATATGTAAATATTAATGTAATATGTATATGATGTATATGCAATAGATTGCAATAGCTGATATGTAATATGGTGTGGACATGTGACATGTATGTTTTTACTACTGCGTTTACAGTTGTTACCCGCTTTCTGCCTGGGACTCGATTGACATTTCCCTGGGAAGCTGCATTTTTGTTTGGTCTAGTTCATCGATGTTCATCGTCTCATTGTCCCTTTTTCTTTGTCAAAATTGGAAAACCTGGATAACCCCTGTATATATGGCAATCTCAACGAGTCAAATCATGCTAGTCATGGAAAGTTACGGCAAGTTCTATGGGAATTTGATGATTTTTGAGGTGCCTGTGATGGAACCAGCACTGGTTGGCAGCCCTACCCTTCAAAGATGTGTGTTGCATGCCCCTAGGTTACAAACGCATTGGCATCCTGAATTGCCGCAAAAAGGATCCTTTGGGATTTTGGAATACGAACCACTACAGAACTACATTTATATAGGTGATGCATGGTGATGCATCCTTAGGACTATGGACTAATACACCCATCGGAATCCTTGGGACTATGGACTAATATCACCTGGTTTCCATGATTCGACTCAGGTGAGTCCTGAACAGCTGGAGGAGTTCAAGAAAGAGGCCGTTCCGCGGCCGTTCCGCGGCCGTTCCCCAAATAAGGATAGCCTCCGGTATCATCAAGCGTGGCAATGAAAAATGCTATCTTAATGGAAGCTTTGATGGAAAAAACATCTATAGAATTCTGCAAATATAAGATATATATATATATATATAAGTAGGGAATTGCCCATTGCCAATGTCATAAATCATGAACCAACCATATTTTGATGATCTATACTCCACGGTTTTTTCTGGTTAGGGTACTAGGTGGTAGGCCAATTTGGCTTTAATAGGCAGTATATGGTGATTTCAATGCTGAATTTGGCCATTTGTGGTGAATGTACATTTCCTGACCTTGCTATGTGTGTTGGACTTGGCAGCAACTGTGGCGCAACTGTGGAGCAATTACCTGATCCATCGATAAACATTCCTCAAAAGAAAAGTTACCTGCAGTTGTCGTAGTTTACGTATACTGGGGGCAATATATACCCCGGCACATATTGCTCTACCCAGTATATACCGGGTATATACCTATCACATATTGATCACCTATGTTTAGCAGCAATATATACCAGGTATGTGCCTGGTATATATTGCTCAGGACAATATACGCCGGGGTCTATATTGCTCCCCGGTACCAGGAGCAATATGTGGGGGCAAGGCAGCGTTTTTTTTATGGCGTTTGTGTTTGGAGGATGTTGTTTTTTTGGTATTCTTTTAAATTTCTTCCCGGTTTTGCGGTTCGGATAAAAATGTGCTCCTGTTCTTGAGTTCTTGAGGGAGCTTGTGGAAATCAGCAAAAAGTAGTTACGGGCAAACCTCTTTATATATGGCCGGTATATGCTCAACCCAAACTGAGGGGTATATACCAGGCATATACCAGGTATATATTGCCACCCCCGCTAGGTATATAAGCCTTACCACCTGGGGCAGGAACCAGAAAAATTCCTTGATATACCACCCATAAAAATGGCAAGCCATTGGGGGATGGTGGATCCTTTTGCTTTCCGAACATTACAATGGGACCACAATTTGGGCCACTATGCCTGGTGAACCCAGGTGTTGTCAAACCGTTTGATCCAAAGGGTGTTATGATGATCCCAAATGGCTCGTGAATAGCTCCACCACCTGTGTTCTGATGTTGTCCCACTTGTGGTCCTGGTCAAAGGTTTGCAATCTCCAAGCTCTTCGTCACCCGCGGCTGGTGAGTTTCATAGGTGCCATGGAGCCCACGGGGTGGTGGTGAAACATGGTGAAACTCGTTGCCCGCTGGTGTTTATTGCCCCCCAACCTGCACTGCAGAGGTTGCGCACTGAAGATACCATCCCTGATGATTGCTTGGGCCCTGGTGGGATCCACCATTTGAGGAGATGATTTGCAGTGGAAAACTCTGACCAACTTCACCCACCACAAGACCTGGATTACTACAGGATACTACGGGCAACTCGACCACAAGTGGATCAAGTGAGAGCTGACCGTCCATTTTGTTCCATGGCAAATTGTGCCCCTAGGTGACTGAGTACATGCCAAATGGGTTCCGGCCTCAATAGCGGAACTGCGTCAAAGAATTAGGTGGCTTTGTGCTGTGTGAGGCTCAATACTTGGGTAGCACCTGGACCCCACATGGCTTTCATTCTTGGGCTTTGCCGTCCATTTTCGAAATCATTTTTGGGCAATAGGCAGCAAGAAGCCGGGAGTTGACACTCACACCATGAACGGAAGGAAGTAAAAACCCTGGATCGTGACGCGTTTGCGGATGCTGCATGCTTGATTTGCATTGTCTGAAGCAGGGCCAAGATTGTTGGTGGCTTCATTGTTATATCCTATGCCAGTCCTGTTTGAGAATGTTTGGAATGATGCACATATTTCATTCGACCCGCCACAATTTGCCAGCCCCGCGACTATCGCCCAGGTCTCTGTATGAGGCTTTGCATCAACGCAAGTTGGGGCCTTCTCAGATTCTCAGGTTGGACGTCTGTGTCAACTTAGGCATTGGGGCGCACATAGTCATAGGCCTAAACAATCCAGGTTTGGGGTGGTAAATTTTGCAAGCCGCGGCCGCATCATCCCCAAAAATGACGAGATGCGATTCCAAGACCCCGCCTGGTGCTGTAGATGATTACTACTTGTAGCAGTTCAAAACTGAGGATCCCAAAGGCGTATAAAACTGGAGGATTCCTCACAAAAAACTCCAAAATCTCTTGGAACCCAGTCAGCTTTGTGAAACTCTATAGATTACATACTATAGAAATATATTAAAATGCCCAAATTGTCCACAGATTTCATCAGATTTCTATCAATTTCTGTTGGAACAGCTAAATTTTGCCGCAGCTTCCCACGATGGGCCGAACCGTTCTACCTCCTCGGGCGCGGCTCATGGCATGTCGCGGCTGTCGGTTGGCCATGGTCGTGGCATCCTTCACAGGTGGAGCCGTGGATAACCGTGGTGGCCGTGGTGTATTCATTCATAATCCATGGTTACCTATGTATTGATAATCCATACATGGTTTATTGATGTTTATTGAGTTATATGATACTCCATGATACTCCCCAAATAGTGATCATATGTGATCATCATTGATGGTATGATACGCAAAAAAAGAACTTAACACCGAGCCAGACGGCATTATTGAGAGATGTTCCAAGTTTCGAGGGGAAATGAATGAACATTATAATATATGATGAACCTGTTGATTTTGAATGATTTTGATAGCTGCTTAGCACAGGGAAAATGATGATTCAATGGAATGAGCTATCCTATTTTGCGCCAAACCCGGAAGATGGTCTTGGGTCTAGAAAATGCGGGAAATCAGGGATCGTGGGGAAGAGGGTCGAGATTTAGACAATGTGCTTTTGGCTTGGTTTTATTGAGCAACTGAAACGGTTTGCCAACAATAAATTTTATACGGTTCACACTTCAGTCGTTTGGATTGGAGCTAGTCCTTCAAGTCCCAATGAAACATCATTGAGGCCGTAAATTAGCGGGGCAAAAACATAATTAAAGGGATTTGCACCATATAGTGCAAATTTTCCTGACCGGTCTTGAGCATTCTCTAGCTCCAGAGATTATCCCAGCAGCATTAGCTCGAAAATTCACCCACAAGCGCTGCCTCAGGCCTTTCCTCTGCCTTCACAGCTAGCGCGAGAGGCCTTGTGGAAGCACACAAGGCGATACCTCCTGCAGCACAGGTGGGACAAGCCCAGGGAAGCTGCGAGAGCTTGTCAAACAGGCAACCTAGAGGTCAATGAGGCTCATGACATGCAAGTTTGGATCACTTTCTTTTGACAGAAATGTCAAGAGAACACGACACCCAACACATTGACTCACAATGACTCTCAATGACTCACATATCTGGATATATGTATATACATAGGATTACATATGTACATATATGTATGTGTATATATATATATATATATATATATATATATATGCATATATATATATATGCATACATATATAGTATATAATACATGTATATACATGTATATATGGTTGCAATTAAGTGATCTGGTGTTGTTCGGATCCGTGGCACATGTTCATCCAGTTTGAGACAACCAAGCGTCTCACACTGTGCCAGGAGTTCTCCTGCAAAGGTTCATTATGCTTCACCAAGACGCAGCTCCCAGAGACCGGGAAATCCGTCAGGGCACGTATACCGCTGTCAGCTGCTGAAACCCAGGCGCCGTTTTGAACCGTTGGGGGAGCTCTTTCGCCATAGTGACATAGTCACATAGTGCTCTGTGTCAGAGGAAGTTCATCAAGCCATGACATGTGGGAACCATTGACTAGATGACTGGGGTGTGGTTCCCTAGATTGATTGAAGCATATTTGTAGTGCATTTTTGGCACTGACTAAGCACAGGTTCATCATGGTTCATCATTCCACTTACGCTGCCACATGGGCGCCGCAGGTCGCAGCCTTTGGCATTGCGGCCTTATCCTCCTTCTTCAATGGATCCTTTCCAGCTTGCCAGCGGATACCCAGGGGGCCACCCTTGGACCCAGTGCTGTTCAACTGCTTGGTCTGTGTGGGTGTGTTCTTCTCATCCCTGCTGATCCCATTAGTGTTCAACCAGGACTGGATTGCACCACGGTGAGGGCCATTCATACCTTCACGACTGGTAGAGCTGGTAGGGCCTGGTAAACGCCATCACTGCGGGTGAGCTGACTGCAGATGCCAGATGTTGCATTGATCCAAGAAGGAGTCCAGTGGTCACTTCAATCCCTCAGACTTTTCTGATGAAGACCGTCCGATAGACTTGATGCGTCATTTACTTTGCAGCTGTATATGCATTTTGGGATTGGTTGCTGAAAACCTCTGAGATCAAAGACATGAGCCCCATTGAGCCCCAAAACATGTGTCAGGCAGGAAGAAAAAAGAAACTTGCAGACACCTATGACCTATATAGATATACAGACCCATTTTGCACAGGAGAATCCCACAGTTCATTGACAAGAAACAATTCTATTTGTGCTGTTTTGTTCTCCAGTTGTCATTTTACCCCCAAGCAATCTATATATATATATATATTTCAAATTATTTCAGTATTTTATAATATGTTGCCGTTTTATGATATGTTTTATCCACATCGATTTTTCGGGCTCACATACGCAGGATGTGGTCTTTACGCTTCCCGGCGCCCTGGGCGGTGTTCTCTTCGTCTTTGCCGCGCTCTTTAGTTTCGTGGCGATCCCCAGAGCTGGCCTGGCGACCGCACAGGCAGTTTGGTCCCTCGAAACCGAAACCGCGATGAAAAATGGACGTTGGGCTCCTGACATTTCACTTGTAGCTATGGAAAAATGCCCCAGAGACATGAGATAATTTATGATAATTTGCCTGTTTAAAATTGAGATGTTCTAATATGTTCTATAATTATAGCTATCTTAAATTACCAACGGAGAAGAGCCTTATAGTATAGAGAACTTATCTCCTTCCAAATCCAGTATCATTAACAAATATTCAGTATCCAATGTTCCAGCCATTTGCTTACCCACTGGTATATCCCAGTTTGGGCTGGTCATCTCATATGTGCTAGTGACAGACAAGCTACATGTCTGTTGGTCGAATCCCCCTCTTTGGACGGTTGCTGTCCATCCTTTCTTTGTCAAGTTTGTAACTATTCATGTAAGTTTTTCCGTCAGGTTGAAATGACATCTTTGTTGGTTACCTGATGTTACCTTCATTTGTTTTGATTGCTCAAAACCTTGGTGCTGATTGAATATAATATGCATATTATATTTATATATAAATTCAATAAAAACTGCCTTCGTTTTGCTCGCTGAGATCTGCATGTGTTCCTTCAAAACACGGGTTCAAGGTTCAAGTCCAAAATTCTAGGTCCCCCAATCCGATCATTCCTCGATCTTCAACACTATTTTCTGCTGAACAATTGCATGTGCCTATTCAACTGAGGGTCTAAGTCTAGTACACTATGAGATTTATTATAATTCCTTCATGAAGTCAAATTATAGGTAGTGTTCGTTCATTTTCTCAAAAGAACTATGTTTGGGTATGGTTAAACCTTTGGCCCCGTAATTTTTTCAGCATTCAACCCCAAATGTACAATTTACATGTGGTGTATTTGTTTGTTTCAAAACGGTACTCATCAACCAACAGTCAACTGGTGTTTCGGGTGGTCTGAGTTACTGATATTACTGGTCCCCTGATGATATTTCATACAAACCACCAGTTAACCGATACCCAGCGCTTGAACATGTTTGATTTCTATGTCTATGTAATTGATTTCTATGTCTATGTAAATGTATGTATTATATATATATGGTCGTACATATTTTAGTGGTCAACCATTGGTTGGAGATGGTTGGAGCAAAAACAAAACATAAACAAATCACGGGTCCAGTAATCCTAATGCCATGCCCATGCGTGTGAGAAAAACAAACAAGACGATAACATATCACAACCGTTAGTTAGAGTAAGCACAGTACATATCAATAGATATGCACGCATGCATATATATATATTACCAAACATAATTATATCGAATTATGGTATACCATGTAGTTTATTTGGAAAAAGCATTCTCAATCTTAGTACTAGTTATTTGTTTTCAATGAGGGTAAATGATATATATATATGCCATGTAAGTGTCATTTCATCGGATGACAATCCATGAATGTTCACCATCATCCCATTCGATCCCCATGAAATCATTGAAAAAATTCCAGGTCGATCCATCGGCCCCAGGTCCTGCTCAGCCATCCTGGTCTCCTTCCTCTGGGGCGCCATCGGTCCCGCCGAAGTCGCAGCACCGCTGGGAGATGTCACCGCCACCGTGGGGGCGGTGCTGCTGCTGGTGGCAGGTAGAAGCTGGGAGAAGGGGAGATGGGGATCTGGGAATGCTATTGTTGGATCATGTTGGATCTTTAATGGACTGTTGCTGATGATTTAATGAGATTTACTTGTGATTTAAGTGTGATTTAATGGGGTCCAATGGTGATTGAGTGGCATTGAATGGTGATTCACTGGTGATTGTTGGGATTTAATGGCAGTTCTTGGGACGATTGAAATTGATCTCAAGTTTTTCATTACGATTTAACAGTGTCCAAATGGTGATACAGCAGTCATTTAAATGGAAAGACAGGAAATCATCTATAGGTATGTAACTCAGGGGCTAATGATTCGGAAACACCATCAATGATTTGAATTTAAGGGAACAATCAGAACCGAAAGCCATTGAGTATCTACCCCGAAATGATTCTATTTCGTTCCACATTCCCTTCAACCAAGTCTGGAAATAGCCCAAGTGCTCCGTTGGGCCGGAATCTTTCCCAACATTTTGGACCCAGTCTGGGCAGGTGATGTTAGATGGCTGGTGTTTTCACAGGAGATAAGGCTATGAATCATTATTCAATGGTAATACAGTAATGGGGGGGAATTCACAACAATAAACCGTTCTCAATTTGAGGTTTATTACTATT